TCAATCGACGATCATATTATTTTGTTTTGTAAGTTTTGAACTAAAACAAGGTTCAATAATAGTAATACATCAATGCTGTGTATTTATTAAGGTAAGGGTATGTAAACAATAAAATATAAGTGGTTCTTAACAAGGTTGGACCAGGCGTGGCTCAGTGAATATTGTGCTCGGACTGCGAATCCCAAGACTCGTGGTTCTTCGGATTGGTTGCTCTAGAAATACGCTCTGCACTTTGAAGCAGTGGGTGCACTGGAATGATGACGGCAAAGTCCTATTATTTATTTAGATTGGAGTAGTCGAAGAATTGACGGTGGGTGCTGTTGACTACACTTCATTCCCTCTAGTCCAGGGATCCCAAAATTTCTCAGCACAAATCCCCCCAAAACATTCCGCATCCTGACTGAGGCCCTCGCCCATTGAACCTGTATATGCTGGGTACATCCCCTTGACACTTTTCTGCAGCCCCCGGGGGGTTCCGCGAACGCCACTTTGGGAATCTCTGCTCTAGTATATCAATTGAAAATTATGGACGCCTATTTAAATATAACCCTTTTGTGTGGCTTTTCACAAAAATAGAAATCTGAAACTTATTAATTTCATGTATTTTAATCTGAATATCTTTTTAAATACAAAATTATGTCAAAAATCAGGCAGGTTAATTTTGGAAAGCGTAATATTTGTGTAATTCTAAACGTTTATATTATTCGTGTTGTGTTAGAAACATTGATCATTTTATGATAAAATAAGTAAGTATATGAAAGGGAAGAAAATTATATCTATTTTTACGAATAGTTTTAAGTTCGAAAAATTCCTGTTGCAATTCAATGCGCATCATTCTGTATTGTGCTGAACACATTTTTTATTTATTTTTGTATTTATGGCAAAGATACTAAGGTCTCTCATTTTGAACCACTGGAGGTAGCCTACCATCCACGCTAAGGGATTGACTGTTCCCATTCCAACGCACCCACGGCTTAAGTGTGGAGGATATTTGGTGGTATCGTACGGATTCCAAACTGACTGGACAGCTTCGAAATCCAGAGCTTTGCCACAGGGCCAACCTTATAGTTCTTAATAAACAATTATATTTAATTCGGTTTTAAACCAGAAACATCAAATATCAATATTTTAAAACTTTATATCAATAACAAAATATACGTTAGACAGTTAACTTTTAAAACGTCGAGGTTTCATACATCGTACGCTCTATTCGAGAAGTGCGTATAATTATATTGCTGTATCTGTGGTCTGTTTTTGACGTGATTAATCTAGATAGGGGTGCTAGGAATATGGACGTAAGGGTTATACAATATAACAAGAACAAGTACAACATACAGTGCTTCTTTGGAACTAACCGCTCGTTTGAACGCCGTTCTTAAACCTTGCCCTCTATGTTATATATTGATTAGTTATAAAATGTACATGTTTATTCAATTTCGAGCAAAGTCACATTGGGTTATCTGCTGTGTCTACCACGTGGAATCGAACCGCGAATTTTAGCATTGTAAGTGCGTAAACTTACCGCTGTCTCACCGGGAGACAAAATTGTCGTGTGAAATGTATTTTCAAAACTTCTCTTCATATTTGTTTTCTTACCGTTCTTTATATATAACCATATCTTAACATCATAATCATAAAATCCAAGTGTCGGTTAGTCACGCTTGATTTCTCCGAATTTCGTGATTACACGAGTCCAATTCCACTTTTCCTCCTATAAAACTTCCTTTTTGCATTACCCGTTCCAATTTTAGTTGAATTCAATCGCTAACATAGGCGTAAATAGCTCCTAAATTTCAGCACGTTTCCTGCTATATAAAAGCCTGTCAAGGAGGTAGTTTTTACACCAATGATTTATTTATCACCGGGTGAAATTAATTTGCCATTTGTTATGAAGAGAAGGTTTTGAACGATGGTCGAGTATTTACAAGAAATGTGGTTTTAAGAGAACTATTGAAATAATACAATTGATGTGATAACAAAATAACTGTGATCAATAAACGCTGGGACAAGGATCGATGCTGGGAAGAGACACTCTTTAGGTAAAGTAGATATTGTTCATGATAGGCTTTGGTTTCCCGAAGCTAGAAGGTTCTTTATTTTTCTTATGTCTATTTATCGGCGGCGAATTTGCAAATGAGTATTGGAGGATTCCAATTTGATAGACTTTGGTTTCCCGCCATTTTTGACGGGTTTTTGTACTGGTCGTTTTACATCTCTTCACAATAGAATGCTATAATTGTTAGACCTATAACCGTTCACAATATCTTGTTTAATATGAACAACCCCAGTTTTCGTGTGCGTGTGCTTTTATCGTCACACTTCACCAATTATTCTCTGTAGTATTGATGTTTTTTATGAAACATGTCTCATCTCAGGTTTCGTTATTTCAAAGTTATATTACCTTGATGTTACGCGATAGGTATTTCGGATGACACGGCTTGAAACTATTCTGTGAAACTATTCAAAACTAGAGGCGTCTCTTTGTAGGAAGATAATTTTACTCAGCCTAGGGAGGTGTTTGTTAAAAAACTGACAAACTGCTATTTATATATAACTTACGTGTTGTAAAATAATAACAGATGGGTAAATGTTTATATCCAGAATTTTTTTTTTTTTTTGGCTCCTCAGTGGCTCAGCGCTTAAACGCTAAAAATCGGGTTTCGATACCCGTGGTTGGAAGAGCACAGAGAACCCATTATGTTGCCCTGCCCTTAACAACAAACCACCCAACATCTAGGTAAATGTAAATATATATGACTGCTTTATATACATACACACACATGTATATTGTTATATATATGTATATACAGTTATATAAGTTTTACTCAAACACTTTGTAGTTTAGGCCTACAGCGAATCGAAATCTATTAATTTGAGAGGAAGCTATTGTTAAAAAATTTAGATTAAAAAGGCCCGAGCGTATAAGACTTTGGATCCGATGGTCTCAGGTCTGAGTCGCATTTTAAGCTAGAGTGCGTATAAGAGCGACAGTCAATCCCGATATCCACTTAGGAATATCTGCTTCGGGCGGTGGGTGCTATCTACTGGTTGATTTCCCTCTGGTTCGCAGTTTAAAATTATAACCAAATATGCCGGAACAATAGGTGTCTCTGACCTGGTCGCTCAGCCATTGCGTGCATAATGTGTCGTTCGGATGAACAAACTAAGGAATAACAACGTACGAGTACATTATTTTGTGCAATTTAGTAGAAGTGACGAAATGTCAGAGATTAAAAGGAAATGCACTCCTCAGGAAACTTCTTCTCCGATATATTAGTTTTTTTTCTGCCAGCTATAGAATGAATAAGCCCCCCCCCCCAGTGACACAGCGGTATGTCTTCAGACTTAGAACGCTAAAAACTGGGGTTCGATACCCGTGGTGGGCAGAGCACAGATAGCCTATTGTATAGCTTTGTGCTTAATTACAAACAAACCTAGAATGAATATTTTTCCTATTTTGTCATACTTCATATATATATATCTACGTACGTGTGGTACGTACGCGGGCGTACACCACATTAAGATATGCATGAGGAGTATATATTAACGTAAAACTGCGACTTCAAGATAGCTTATCATCAATAAACAGTCCGAACTGTAAAATAAAAAAATTAAAACAGGTTATTTGTGATTGCAGGCATCAATTAAAGGGGTTGGAGCCCTTTCACTGCGTTGGCGAAAATGGGCGTAATGTTGCCTCCAGTGAAATTTCCTCAGCACTTAAATCCAAGCTGTTGCGTAGTGGAAGTCTTCCTGTCAGCTTTATTTAGCTACGTGAACATCAGTAAAATTGAAATATCTCTCAGGAATACCTTAAAAGTAAGCGATTACTCGAGCATTAATCAGCTAATGAAAAATTATTGTAGATTACTTGTATAACGATTATCGTAACAATATTCCTGCAATCGATAGTTAGTTCAAGAACAGTTCTGTAGCACGTAAAAATGACGCATTCCCACCTGTTTAGTATATGTTTACGAAATACGCTAAATACAAGCTAAAGAAAATGTTTACGTTGAACTTACCTAACTCATTAGAACAATTTTAACATTGTACTTGCTTAAACTCATAGACACTGAATTTGATATATTGCATGAACTAAAAAACCTACATCGTTCGAACTTTGTCAAACTATAGAACCTTAACACGTGTAAAGCTTTCAGTAAACCGCGTAACCTTTATTGAGTAGCTCATGAAATGCAGCCTAATGGAATTTAACTGTACAGTCTATACTAATTTGTAGGGAGGTGTTACCTGACGTTCATCACATACTTCTATCTTCGCACATTAAGGTTAAACCTTAGCGGGGAAATTTAACACTGTTAATTTAGGCTTTCATTTCTTGAACAGTTCGACAAGCATATACAGGTAAATTTTAAACGTTTTGTTATTGTTTATTTCGTAAAAGTTTTATAGCCAGAAACAAAAAAAGTTTTTAGAAAATAATACTGACACATATTTTTGAAGGGTAAGAATCTTTTAACTCTAGAAGTAATCTACTTATATCTCAACTAAACATGAAAAAATTGCACACACAGAGGTGTAACTATGTATATCAGCTGCAACGTAATCTCGAAATAAAGTATCAAAGAATTTTTTTTTTTTGGTTATACCTAACAAAACTAGAGAACCCTTTGCTAACGGTCGGTTTCATCTGAAGGATTTATTTCACATGGCGAGAAACTGAGAAGTAAAAAAATAATAAAGTGGGAAGCCTTTTCAAGGCTGTTTCTTTCAAAGCGTTCATTTTAATTGTTTTGAATTTTACTTCGCGAAAGTCCAGGAGGTGGCGCTGTAATCGCACATGAGTTTGTTTTCAATTAGAAAAAAGATATATTACACAAAATTATCACATTTACTAAAATAGTCAATCTCCACTATAGTAAGCAGTAAGTTACGATAAAACTTTGACAGCTTTACTTACTACTACATCATGTAACATTTCGTTGAAACAAATTGTAAGTCAATGTCAGTTATAGAGAGTTAGATGTCTTACTCACATCGTGGAAGTCCGCCATCTCGGAAGCCATGAAAGAAGAACACCTGGAGTATAGTGAAACCGAGGCTAAGACCGCTGTGCCACTAGACATAGGTTGGACAGTCTGTTCAACTAACCTGTATAAAGTGATCGCTTCTTTCGTGAGTGGCGCGTGCAATCTCACCTGTCCAAGACGGAACGACTCGACCGTCTGCTGAGATCACCTGTTTTCATTGGCTCCTACCTGTCGCTCCTAAATAGGACGTCGGCTGTGATGTGTGTTGCTGCCAATGAAGAGAGGTTCTGTCACGCGCCAATCATTGCCGATTTCTAACAGACGGCAACGTGCCAGATGACTGAGGAGGCAGGCACTCAGGCTAGTAAGTTTTCTGAATGAACCACTACTGAATCAACTTCAGGGTGTACGCGGCGCACGCGCCACCTTCAGGCTTTTAGCCCTCGAGGCTGTTACGGGAGTGCAGATGCTCACAATAGATGTTACGCAGGCAGAGAAGATGCTTGAAACGAAACCTTTGCATGATGTCTTCCTGATGTTAGCATCTGATTGGTTACTGGAATTTGCGGTTGATCCTCCCTCATAGATTAGGTTACTTTATGATTTTAATGCTCTAAATGGAGACGACACCTAACTCCCACAAGAATGGTGGATTATGAAGGTTAACTACTAAACAAATCTGAAATCTGAACCTTCCCGACTTGAGGTTTCTTCCTAGGGTATCACAAATGATGTGTTGATCACAATAGGTCAGTTTAGTGTCAATACCAACAATCGTAGTATGGTCATCTATGCTTTTTTTTATATCTCATAACTGAAATAGCATCAGAGACTGAACTTTCAGTTGCAGTAATGCCATTTTTTTATCATTTATTCTTAATTCGTAACTTGGATTATTCCTATTACATATACGCAAGTACGAATGCCTGAAGATTTTTGTACGTAAGCTGGGATTATGCAGTAAATATATTGAACTATGTAAACTAAAAATTCTTCATGAACGGCATTTGAGGGTCGCGGGTTCAAATGTTCGTCCCACCTAACATGCTCGCCCTTTCAGCCGTGGGGGCGTTATAATGTGACGGACAATCACACTATTCGTTGATAAAAGAGTAGGCCAAGAGTTGGCGGTGGGTGGTGATGACTAGCTGCCTTCCCTCTAGTGTTTCACTGCTAAATGAGGGACGACTAGCGCAGATAGCTCTCGTGTAGCTTTGCGCGAAATTCAAAACAAACCAAACCAAGCTGAACGGCATTACTCTGTCCATAATTATTTTTATTTATTTATTTATCTGTTGGAAGCATTAACTCTGTTTTCAGTAAAAGTGTAAAAGCTCGTAAAGGAAAATTAAATGTTTTTGAAAACGTTTATAAAAAAAACACTGTCATTCAGTTAAATTCATATAGCATTTATTTTAAACATAGAAGTAAATTATATCATCAATATAAAACAAAACAAATCAAAGCATGTTTACAGGCATCAATGAAATTTGTTAATAATAGCAAATATTTTATTATTATAAGGATCTTAGTGTATTTTCTGTGTTTGTCGCTTGGTATTCAGTAACGTAACGTTCCATCTTATTACATCTTATTTTTCGTGT